ATACATACGCATACATACACATACATACACATAAATACGCGTATACATACCCGTATACATACATATACATACACATACATACACATACATACACATACATACACATACATGCACATACATACACATACATACACATACATACACATACATACACATACATACATCCATACACATGCATATTCACACATATACATACATATACATACATATACATACATTTACAAACAAATACATACATCTACATACATACATATACACATATACACATATACACATATACACATATACACATATACACATATATACATATATACATATATACATACACAGCCTACATATACATACACAACGCATACTACCATACAACGGACGACGACAGCCAGACACCCACACAGACCTACAAACAGACACACACATACCCACATACATGCATAATGCATGCATGCATCCATGCATCCATACATGCATACATCCATACTCCCATACATCCATACATCCTCCTCCATATGCATTGCGGCTACATGCGACATGCATCATACTAACTACATACATACATCATGCATGCATGCACAAACACGTAGAACCGCATGTATATATAGAAATGAATGTCAAAAATATGCCATATCTCGATCTATCTCTCTATTTGTCTATTTTTCTATCTGTCTATTTGTCGACCTCTCTATCTACCTAACCTAATCTAATCTAATTCAATCCAATCCAATCCAACCCAGTCCAATCTAATCTAATCTAATCTAATCTAATCTATCTAATCTATCTATTCAATCTAATCTATCTAATCTATCTATTCTATCTATCTATCTATCTACCTATCCATCTATCTATCTTACCTTATCTTATCTTACCTTATCTTATCTTACCTTATCTTATCTTACCTTATCTTCTCTTACCTTATCTTACCTTACCTTATCTTATCTTATCTTATCTTAACTATCTAGCTATCTATCTACATGTACATACATGCACGATATATGTAATGGGTTGGATGATCCTTGGGTCTGGGCAAGGCCGAAAAATCTGCGGGTGTCTAGCCGTTTAGATGCGCGTCTTTTCGGAGGAACTCAGGGAGGAGGAGCTGATTGACAATTTGAGAGATGATTTGCTGCAAGTGCCTTGGCCGCAGTGCCCATGCGGATCTTGAAGAATTGCCACATCTGCCACTCCAAGCATCAACAGCATCAAAAATTGAACTTAAACTCAGAATGGCCCACTGGGCCGGGCTAAGGAAACTGATTTGGCAGAGGCAAAATGCTGATTAGCAGCCGGGGCGGACCACGCTGACGAACCAACATTCAGAAAATCAGCCTGTCCACATAGTGGATCAAAATAGCGAACCTCCCTATCATCATTTTGCTCATCACAATGACCATAATCGGGCATAACGGGTGGATATACAACACCATCTTTCAGACTTAAACGCAACATATCATAGTGTTGCTTATCTACGTCCCATTCATATCTCCATCAAATGTCCCCATCAAACATCTGCATTAAACTTGCCAACTATATCCTCATCATATCCCCTTCCAGTATCCCCATTTAATATCCCCATCAAATATGATCCCCTCCGAATATACCATAAAATACCAATTAAACGGTAGAAATATCCACCATAAATCCTGATATCATATTGTTTCGTCATAGATCCCATGAAAAATCAGGAAATCCCAAATAGTATCAAATATTCCCTCCAAGTATTTCCATGATTTTACCTTCCAAACATTCCCATGACATTTTCAATTCCCAGTTCCGCTGGAGGCCGTTGAGGCCCCCGAGGATTCCAAGGAGTCCGAGGAGTCGCCTGCAGATCTGGATGACGAGGCACAGCACTTGAAATCATTCAAAATCCGGGAAAAAGATGGCGCTTCACTTGGATAGACCATGCGGAACAGGGACGCAGGCGGTCTGCTGCATTGAGTTAGTGACTGAAGGTAGGTACACTGAGATTTTGCCAAGATTCTCTGACATTTCTTGGGTTTGCTGCTCGCAGGAGATTACGGATCTCTTCCAAGAAGAAAACACATCGCAGCTGCTAAGTGCTGTTCAGGACTCGATGTGATTTCGCTTCGACATCCACGTGTTTTTCATGGGTTTGGCATGGTTTGTCCCCCGCAAAATTTGGGTAGTTCCTCCCAAACCACCATTTCACCTCATTTCATGATATTGGTTGGGAGCGAGGAGCGTGCGGCCCTGGTGGTGGGTGAAGCGGCTTTGGACACTGGGGAGCGGCCTGGTTGCATCGTGCAGCTGTCCCTGGCCACATTTTTTTAGTGATGTCTCCAGAGGTGCCACAGGAAGTTTGAGAATGGTCCAGACATTTATTGACAGTCCTGGTACAAACTTGAAACTTCGCAGAACGACTTATCTCAACCAGGTTGCGGCCGATCGTTTCCAGCAGAATTTCTTTCTTTTCCAGCGATTTTCGATCGAGCCGAGTGGGTATGCGCCAAATTCCAATCAATCCTGTAGATCGGGATTCGCCTAATCCCAATTAAAATGATGGTGAAATTCCCAATGATTGATGGACAAATACTCATTTGTCATGGTGAAATCCGTATTTCTTCTGGTGAATTCCACATTTTCCACGGTTAAATCCTGATGTTTTGTTGGCGAACTCCCAAGTTTTCGTGGCCATGTCCTTATTCTTGTTCCTGAACTCGCACTTTTTATGGTAAAACCATGTAAAACCCAGAACTTGCTTCTGTTGAATCCCAAGTTTTGATTGTCAAATCTAACACTTCCTGTTGGTTGAATCACTTAAGTCCTCATGGATTTCATGCTGAAATGGATCTCTGAGTTCCCCCGTGACCGCCAATTTTTTGCCTCTGCCAGGCTCTCCTTAGCAGAGGACATCATTGCAAGGCTCCAGAGGGAGGAGTCCTCGGCTGCGGCGGCGGAGCTGTTGTAGGGCGGCCCGATGGGACGGCCACGGCCAAGATCAGCTCACTATGTCAAGAGCTCTTTGAACGTGGCTGTATGAATGAATACTGAATACTGTAGTTGCTGCAGGTAGTATTGGAAGTTTATTCTGTTTATGGGTCTTTTAAATAGTCTTTAACCATTCTACAACCATTCTATCATCATTTTTTCCCCCCCCCGCCAAGGATGGAGAAGGCCGTGTGCATCTCCCGCTCCGACTGTGCACCTTTTCGGAAGACGTTTGGACAGCTGGAGGAGTTGCTGTTGTTGGTCCAACAGGCGGCTGGGATACCTGGGACACCTGGGGTGGCTGGGGGCAGCATTGGGTCATTGGAAGTTTGGAAACTGATTGAGTCATTGAGTCATTGATGACGAGGATAGGAAGGCTTGCTGCCTTTTGAACTCCACCCGCTTCAGCCGCGAGGATGTCAATATGACACCCTGGACCGCCGACCGCGGCTCGGCAGAAGCTAGTGGATAGTGAAGGGCAGGAGTCCCACACATGTACTTCGGATTCAAAGGCATGAGATGCTGCAGCCCTTCACAGGTTGGAACCGCCTCATCCTGTCTGTTGGACGAGAGTTCCCTGGCAGCTTCAGGTTTTGGGCGGGTGAGCCTAAAGGAAAAATCAAACATCAGATTGTACCCTTTTGTCTACGTATTTGTCCAACTCCAGCGACATGCAACAACACGTTGCCTACTCTCTGCGAATCAAACGTGGCAATGGAAAATCCTCCTTGAAAGATGATTTTCCTATTAAAACCTGCCCATTTAGTTCGGTGATTTCCCAGCCAGCCATGTTTGATTTCCCTCCATATAATATATATATATATATATTGCAATATATATATAATGAAATTATATATATAATATTATATATAACATAATATATATATATATATATAACATAATATATATATATATCTTTTATAAATAATATATATATATAATAAATATAATATAATATAATATATATATAATATGATATATAAAATATATAATATATAATATTTAATATATAATATATACTATTTAATATATAATATAATATCCATGGTGTATAATATATAATATATAAAATATAATATATAAAATATAATATATAAAATATAATATATAAAATATAATATATAAAATATAATATATAAAATATAATATATAAAATATATAAAAAAATAATATATAATATATAAAATATAATATATAATATATAATATATAATATATAATATATAACATATAACATATAATATATAATATATAATATATAATGTATAATATATAATATACAATATATAATATATAATATATAAAAAAATATAATATATAATATATAATATATAATATATAATATATAATATATAATATATAACATAATATATAGTATAACAATATATATATAATACAATATATAATATAATATAATATAACAATATATCATTTAGTATATCATTTAGTATATAATATATAATATATAATATTTAATATATAATATTTAATATAAAACATATAATATATAATATATATAATATATAATATATAACATATAATATATAATTTATATTATATAATATATAATATATAATATATAATATAATATATAATATATATAATATATAATATATAATATATATAATATATAATACATAATATATAATATATAATATAATATATAATATAATATTATATATAATGCTTTGTATATCGCCGTATATCGCCTTCAAATCCCATGAACTTTATTCTCTTTATTTTCTGGTTCATGGTTGTATTTGTTGATTGCATCACTTCATTTCAATGGCTCCATGGGACGACAGCCAGGCAAGAACTTTGTCACGTGGAACGGGTCAGCATCCCAACAGCCGGGGTGAAGATACGTGTACTTGGGGGTGCAGTTGAGGTTACACATGGGTATAGCTAGGGTAAGATATAACCTCTACAGTTATGATTAAAATATCTACTTATGTCTGGAACTGCACTTCCAAGTAGGTTTCTGCAGTTGACCTTAGAAAAACTGTCTTCAGCTTTGCCCAGTAAGAATTTCCCACTGAGAAAAGTGCACTGCGTTGCAGCTCACAAAGCGCGCATTTCAGGTCTTTGACTTTATGCAGCAATTCCAGGTGAAAGGAGACAAGGACACAGTCGGGCCTGTTTGAATACACACCACAGTCCACTGATTGATCATAATTTTCCCATATTTTCCCTACTACTTGCAGTAAGTGCCATTTTTGAGGTTAATTATGCCCCAATTTCAGACACACCCATATCATCCCACATCAGATTGTTGTGTAAACATGTATACGTACCAGTAGTACCCGCACGAGGCTGGTCGGAAGTTGCCCGGACCTCGTGTTCTCTTCTCATCTCACCTCATCTCAGCTCTTCTCATCCCATCTCTTCTCAGATGTCATCTCAATTCTTCTCAACTATTTTCATCTCATCCGAACACTGCCCAACCTTTCTCATCTCATCGAAGCTCTTCTTAGCTCATCCCAGCTCTTCTGTAATTACGTCAGAAAGCTTTTACTGACAGAGAGAAGCTCTTCTACACAAAAAGCGTTGCACGCCGAAGCTTTTGCACAGAGAAGCTTTGAGACACAGATACGTTTGCACAGAAAAGCTTTTTACACACAGACAACTTTTACACATGGGAACCTTTTACAGACAGAATCTTTTACACAGAGAAACTTTTTACACAGAGTCCCTTGTATGCACAGAATGGTAACAAAATGCGCAAAGTACTTCCCAGTACTACTTTGTACTACAGGCCTTGCGCAAAGCACTTCCCAGTACTACTTCATATTACGAGACTTGCACAAAACAAGGACTCCTTTGTACTACAAAGCTTGCACAAACGACATCCCAGTATTACTTTGTACTACAAAGCTTGCACAAAGTACTTCCCAGTACTACTTTGTATTACAAGCCTTGCACAAAATACTTCCCCGTATTACTTTGTGATACAAAGTTTGCACAAAACACTTCCCAGTACTACTTGGTACTAGAGAGCTTGCACAAAGTACGTCCCAGTACTACTTTGTACTACAAGCTTGCACAACCTTACTTCCCAGTACTACTTTGTACTAGAAAGCTTGCACAAAGTACTTCTGAGTACTGCGAACTGCAACCACAGATTTCAAAAGACCATAGAACTATGCACGCACGAACAACCGCACAGCGCAGAACGCCATGGAGGAACCAATCAGGCGCCAACACGACCGCAGCCGCACCCATGGCACAAACGAGGTGCCCTTCATCGCTGGCTCCAGCCATTTTACAGGTAAAAACGATGTTTCGCGCTCCGGATTCCGCCCCAACACAAGTCACCACCTCACTAAGTCACCACAAATCATCACTTCCCTCAGTCAACACTTCCCAGTCAACGCACTTGACAAAGTTACCACTTCTCCGGGTCTCAGGTCGCCACTTCTCTAAGTCATCACTTCCCTAAGTCAGCCCACTTCGCAAAGTCACCAAAAAAGTCATCCGTAACTAGGTTTCGATTGCTTCCCAACTTCCTTTTTTTTCATACACATGTCCATCAGAATCCGTGGGATTCTTGTACCAGGAGACGGATGCAGCTGTAGCTCAGCTGGTCTGGCCTTCAGCTGGCGCCGATGGCTGCGACTCGGGGGCTTTGTTGGCCAAACAACGGGATGTTGGTATCGACAACAAACATGAAGCGTATTTAGTATATACATATGACACTACATACTAACTATATATATATACACACCGTATATACATACACCTAACTATACAAGTATACAGGTAAACACACATCCATCCATCCATCCATCCATCCATCCATCCATCCATCCATCCATCCATCCATCCATCCATCCATCCATCCATCCATCCATCCATGTGCTTGTTCGCTGGGAACGAGAAAGGCAGTGACCTCTCTGGAGGTGGTGCAGCAGGCGCTCCTGGCAGTTGAACATTTTTATGGGGAGATCATTGGGAGACAGAGATATATTATGGTTATGATAGATATATGGTGATAGATATGGTCATGATATGGTTTATAATCAATATACGTATATACATATATATAATACCCTCTGGTTATTTAACATAGCCATGGAACATGGCCCATTTATAGATGATTTTCCCATTAAAACCTCCATTTACAAGGGATTTTCCATGGCTAACCAGATGGTATACATATTGTAATATCCCCAACAAGGTGATGTAGGGTTGTTTCTAAAACATGGAATGCCCGCCAATGGGATGAATGACTATCTGACTATCAGTTATCATCAGTTTTTTCATTCTAATGGCAACTTTGGGGTATCGGTATCACCCAACCCACATAACAAAGATGATGAACATCCATTAATTCATATGAGCGCCCGGGTATGGTGGGAATTTTGGGCCATAACCGTGCTGGGAACATAAGTCCTGGAACTACATGACATGTACAGTTGAGGAGCTGCTTCAACCGTTGCAACCGTACAGGCCCCCAGCTTGTGTGGGCACGGGTCTGAGACTGGCAAGTGGGGGTGCGTTCATCTGCAGGGGAAGGGTCAATACCCGCGGAGCCAATTTTTGCAGGAATATGCAGGAATGTTCACTTCATCTACCCTCCGGCAGCAACCGTGGCAATAGAAAATCCTCGTTGAAAGAGGATTTTCCCATCAAAACTTCCATTGATAGTCCAATTGCTACGCTTGTTCGCGGGAGGGTACCGCCAGTTTGGTGTTCAGGGTTGCGGCATCAGGTTGAAGCCGCTGCCACAACTTCCAGAGGCGCATCCAAGGAACAGCAGCCATCCTTGAGGTCCAATATGAAATTGGACCCCAACCTAACCCTAAAACCCTAAATACATATATAGATCTATTTAACATTATATAACTGCACTTGCCACACACAGGCTGAACATGATGACCACATCAGTTTCACCCCCCAGCTTTTCAATATGAGGTGCTCCTGCTTGGCAGCAACGGAATGCGAACCCCTGGCCGGGCTTCCTCAGAGGGAGGATTACTTTCCACTAGGATTTTCTCTTGGAGCTTGGCCATGAGACCATGGAACTTGCCAGAAGCCTTTTGTGTCTGTTTTCATTTTAGTCTTTGGTGGTACAATGAGATGACCAAGATTCCTATGCATTGGTTCTGTGTTTGTGCCTTCCCTTAGTTTTGGAATAGTTCCCATCCGAAATTCCCCTAAGATGTGGTTCTCTAGAGGTGTAGCAGAGCCTTTGTCTAGAAGCGCCCTGCAAGCCACCTGCATGATTTGATGCCGTTCAAAGCTTGCAAGAACAAGCCAACATTTAGTACACATGGAGGACATGAAAATATTACAGCCTTTTGCCGGCAACAGTGATACAGTAGTCCTGATAAAGGTACTGTACACCAAACTGCGTGTGAACTCGAAAACCTGAGGACACGACTTCTGTGCACAGGTGATAGATCCAATCCCTGATATCCCTGGACCCTGGTTCTCCCATCAAAACAGCTGGTGTTTATGACATGTTCACCCCTTTCCAACCCCCAATTTGTGTGGGAACATCCCGGTTTTAGACACCCCATCAAAGCACACCACCGAACTCCGGGCCGCGTGGTGCGGCTGTGCCTTCAGCGTCAGCCATTACACCTAGTCACGACGACTGGTCGGAACCAACAGTTGGAACCCGTAGCCCACACCCTGACAGATACACCACAACGCACACCTGGAACAGAATGCCACTGGCAATACTTTGAAATCTTTGAATGATCTTGAATGGCCACCCAGCAACCTGGCATTTTGGATGATTTTGGCATATATTTTTGGCACATGTCCTGCACTTAGCAAGACAGGTCGCAGACATTTTCCGGTTGCGCAGTTGCCCCCACTGAGCGCCATGAATGGAGCGAGCCCTCAAGGCTTTCCGTGTGAGATTTGGCTGCAGGACGACTTGATTCAGAAGGGACCTTTCTGAAATTGCCGAAGCCACTTTCAATCGACTGACAAGGGAAAGGTCATAAAAGAGTATGACAGATCATGAAAGATTCCCAAGAAATCTGAGTGCCTGTAGCTCTTGCGGTGTTTTACCAACAATTCCAGGATCAGAGGGTGTCCCAATTTGAAGCACCAAAACCACCGATGGCCGTGGGATCCGAATCTGAGGAACGGATACTGGTGAAGAATCTGCCGCCCAATTCCACTGAGGGCAGTGTCAGACAACTTTTTGGGACCTATGCTGGGGTTGCAGGAGAGGGTTTGAACCGGCGGAAAGGGGTATTCCAAGATGAGTCACTCCAACAAACAGATTTGGTAGGAATTCGGTAGAAGATTCAGAGTGGCAACAGCAAAGCCTCTGATTTTTGGCTGTGGAGTTTGGTAAAGAAACACATTGAAGGGGAAGGGCCTAAATGGCTTCAACATTTGGCTGCAGGCATACGGATGTTGCCGCCAATACCTGGCAAGCCTGGCTTGGCTGCATACATCACCTTCACGAACTTGGCTGAGGCTCCCTCTTGGTTGTGACATTTCCATGATCTTTGGAAAGTAATCTATGGGAGATCTTGGGAGGGTCAGAACTTCAGAGCCACTTGGGGGACCAACGGGCCATATGGGCTGGCAATAATTGTGCTGGTTCTTCATCCTATTTTGAGGACGCATCCGAAATATTTGATCCATTCCGTGTCTCAGGCCAAGTGGGTGGTGGAAAACATGCACAACAATCCATTGCAGGGTTTGCCTGAGCCTCTGTAACTCGTCTGGAGAATGGGGCGGGAAAATCAATTAAAACCATCAAACAAATTAAAGAGTTAAAGAACTCATTTCCCTCCCAGAAAATCGCACTCATGAGAAAATGATGAAGCACTGAATTTTTGGGCTTTTCCCTTATTTTCAGAGCCATTTATGGACATCTGAAGCGGATGGGATCTTCATGTAATCGGATGATCTGGTCCCGATGCCCACCACCTGGAAATCCGTGGAACACATTTGTCTCACAGTGGAAACACTGCAGGCAACTGAGCTATGACAATGTTGTCAAGGGCAACTTGGCTCATGGGCAAGCCACTGACTGGCTTAAGATCGCTTTCTGAGCGATCTTAATTACTTTCCACTTGTAAAAATTGTAAATTGGAAGCCGACACAACCACTTTGTGACTTCTTGTAGATGGACAATAATACAATGTAGGTCACACACACATAAATATACATACATATATATATATATGCATATATATATAATATATACATACACATGTTCCACGCACTTAGACTTCGGCACTTGTTATGCCGAAAAGGGTCAGCCAAAAGACCCCAAAATGGTTATTTCCATCCAATTAGGCAGAGAGCAGCCCAGTGCAATGACTCATGGAAACAACGGTTCGAGACAAACGGAAACCTTGCTATCTAGCCCCAAATCTCCTGTAGTTCTTTTTGTTATGTACAAAGTCAACATAGTTCAACCATAGGTTGAAGAGTTGTGAAAGCTCGCAAGAACGGGTCAGCTTTAGGTGATTGGAACTTGAACTAAAGCCAGCATTGCTACATTATGTGGGTCAACATCGAACTTTCTCGCACCTGTCAGCTAGACACACACACACACAGAGCTTTGTTGTCCGCTCGAAGCTTGTCAATGTGGTGGATCCCTTCCCCCTGCGCCGCTTAAAATGCAACACATCGCCCAGGCCAAACAAAAGGCGCGCCGCCGAGATTCCGGTTACCACATCATACTGGTCTGGTTTGGGTTGGTGCCTTGATAAAGATCCTGCATTTCTTCCCTTCTTCCCTTCAAAGATACATTGCTTAGGAAACGCTTTGCGTTTCCTTGGCTGGGATTTACCAATAGGTTAGGACGGTTCGGCTTTGAACTGTCAATTTCCCATCAGTTGTGGACGCTTTGAGCGGATGAGAGGTGGCAAGGGCCCCTATGACGGCCCATGGCAGAAGACTATCATGCTACTTGTCTGGACGTTGGTGGGCAAAATTGTAAAAGCATCAGCAACTGCGCTTGCTGCGAGTTGGATAGCCTAGATAGCTGAGTTCGCCAATTGCAAGTGGGCAAACTGAGGTGCAGATACGTCCAAAGCAAAGGATCCTGCAGAAATCAGGACACGGCACTTTGTCACAGGCAACATGACATCACAGGTAAAGATGCACACCGTTACTGTGCTGATCCTTTGATCAACCTCAATTCCTGAGACAGTGATGTATGAATGAACCCCAGAACATGAGCCCCGCGTGTCAAAAAGCCCACAGTGGTGGCCTGCCAGGATACATGTCCCTATGCCCACAGCGAGTGGGAACTGAATGCTGCGAAAGGCAAAGGCAAAGGCTTTGAGAAAGGCTTCGAGAAGGGGTTTGAGAAGGGCTTCGAGCCTGGATATGGCCCTATGATGCTTGGTGATGGTGGCCTCTCATTTTTCAAGTGGATGTCGCACCCAAAACAGAGAGCTGGAGTCGAGGAGTTGCTGATCCACTAGCTAGCCCAATCTTATAGAGTTTGCAAGCTACAGTAGTTACAAACCACAGGTCCTTATCTCCTGACAGGATTTGTCCCCCAAGTTCGGTCTCAGGAAAGGCGGCATGCCAAAGGGACCCCCCGAGATGGGCATGGGCAAAGGTCCTATGCCGGGGAAAGGACCAATGGGCCCGATGGGCCCGATGGGCCCAATGGGCCCAATGGGCCCACCGGGACCGATGGGCAAAGGACCTATGTCCATGGGCAAAGATGGCAAAGATGGCAAAGATGGCAAAGGGGGCAAAGGACAGGTACCTTGGGGCCTTGGGATGCTCATTTTTTTTTTGTAAAGCAAAACCTGGGTAACGTGAACAGATCTCTAGATCGTTGTCAGCTTTCTTTGGTGTTTCGTGACTTCCAACCTTTTCAACTGAGCATTTCAAAGGGTCAAATTGCTATAAATCGCTGCGTTGTGAGGACCCGGACCTGGAAGTGCAGGGTACAAGACCAGACTTTGTGCCTTTTGGCAGAAAGGCCAATGTACTCGAGAGTCTTGCAACTTTGCACATGGAGAGGAAGAAATGAAGTGAAGACGCCAAGACGACTGGCCTGAGGTTCCACTGACCCTTCTGCCCCTAGTTTGAAACTCTTCTTGGCATGTAACAACCGCTTCATCCTGCAAATTCACACAGTAGCTATACATGCTTTCCCCCAGCACATGCTCGTGGCTTATTTTTTTCCTTCCGAAACTGGATTGTCCCCTCGTATTATATGCTGCTGACATCTAAGTTGTTGTGATTTCAAGGCCAGTCATGATAACTGTTGAGCGAAAAAGGCACTTCGGCATCGTGGCATCGTGTAAAAAGTAAAAAGGCTCTGGGGCTGCCCCGGCTGCATGAACTATGCCTGGAATGATCAGCAAAAACTGTTGGGCTTTGGACCTGGTTTTTTGAACACTTCAGAAAAACTGAACAGAAGATCAAGGTCCACAGGCATGAGGAACCCCTATACATCAACCTATACAATCCTATACAATCTTACACATATATTTTCCATTTTGTAGTATGATTCAATCATATTCAATCCATTCATTACTTATGGGTTTACACCCACATGCACCCGATGACGCCATGCATAGCACCCATACCAGGTGAGCGCAGTTCCATGGCATCCGCCCTGGTCTCCATACAGCCGCGGCGGAGGCCGGGGATGTCATCGGTCGGTCCCGCAAGGACCCCAGGTCCAGGGTTTATGGTCGATATATGTCGATATATCATGATACATCCAACTAGCAACTAGTTATATAATGGATGTTAATGGGGGTTATAAACCAACTTATAAAAATTATAAATGGCCACCTTTCGTACAAGCCAGTAGGGTCTTGTAAACCAATGATCTATACACAATGTATGGGCGTGTCTAAAAGTGGGGCATGTGCTCCTAGAATGGCTGTTAAATTTTTTGAACAATGATGACAACCCACCATTTTTTGGCATCTCCCATTATCAGTCAAACTTGTAGGTGTGGTGGGACTGTACTGTACAAAATCACCAAGATAGCAATTTTCTGCATGTGGCACTGAAACCTGTGCAGGTTGGAAGATGAACTTGCAAGTGCCGAGGGTTTACAGAAAGGCAGGGTCCCTTGATCTTCGAAGACCTTTTGAAAAAAGTAGCTGGTAGCAATGGATTTACAGATGCTAGGATTTGCCATGGGGCTTCCCTTTTTGATTTTTTATCTTTCTGGTGGCCTGCAAGATCAGGCTCGCGGAAGAACAGGTCTCCAACTAGACGAGAGTCGCCTGCCAGGATCCCACAGATGAAGTGTCTTATTTGAACATCTCCATGGACTAGTCGGGGAAAGAATGGCTACAACATGCTACAACCACCGATGGATGCGATGGTTGAAATATGCTGAAATACCCCGAATGGCACATTTATGCACATTTATGCACATTTATGCACATGTATCATTTACTAATCTCTGTTGGACCTTCTGTGGTGTTGTACTGTCATTTCCCGGGATCCAATTTTGGCGAGGCCAGTCTTCTCCGAATCAACTTTGAAGAGGTTCGGCCTCGTCCAACGTCGTCGCTCAGTGGTTCACTGCCCATCTTGGGGCCCTGGGGTAGGACAGATCTCCAGTACAAGTGCTAGACATCCCAGCAGGGCTGCGACCGTCCGTCTCGGAGCTCAGTTGATTTGGGCAGCATGGCTCACCCTACAGTAGTAGCTGGTAGCTATGGAATGATTTCCTTGCACTGTACACTGTAGCAGTATGAAGCAAAAGCTATGATACCACATTTGAGCGGGATGTTCCCAATGACCCAGCAAGTTTGGTGGTTTCACAGCAGCGTACCAGGTTTTTGATACAAAGGCCCCTTTTGTCATGGGTGCATTCCCTAAATGGAGCTTCCTGAAGGACTCCATCCATGACAGCTATGAGTCTGCTGAACTTTTCCAGCTGAATCCAAGCTGTCCGCCCAACAACGGCTTGAACAGGAAGACCATCTGAAGACTGAGACTGTCCAAGTTGCGAAATTGTTCGATGTGTTCCTCAGATGTTGGTTACATTTGCACACACCTCAGAAAGATGACAGATGGGACAACGATATATGTATACATATATGTATATATACACAGTATATACACAATTACATGCATATGTATTTTGGTCTTATTTTTTGTTTGGCGTAGACTGGAATCAGGAAAAAACCGCGCATCAGCTTCGAGCATAACCAAAACCCCTTCTAGCTGCCATCATTTTTCGCGCTATGGCCGCCATGATGCTTGCTCCCAACTTTCAGTGTTTGCCAACACTGAGCTTCTTCGCCCCGAGGACAGGGGCCAAAGTGTTGTCCTTGGATTCGCCTTGGATGTTTGTTCGGTAAGGCTTGTTCTATTTTGTTCTGTCTACATGACTTGATATGCTGTTCGCTTATCAAACCATCAACAGAATCAACAGAATTATTTTAATGTAGACTTAGTACATGTACATAATAATTTACTCCTATTTACGTTGTTGCATGGCTCAAGAAAAAGCTGAGTGTTACTGGCTGTTTAACCCTAAAATACAGGTTATCAGCCGTATAGCCTAGTTTTCCCCCCTAGGTAGTTTTCTGCTCTTGGTATTGCTTCCACCTTGAGCTTGTAGGGATTCCCTTGCCGCCTTGTTAGTGCCATGGCTAACCCTATGCTACCTATCGCCGACTCCCCGGAGACGATCGACATAAGCACCCCTCCGAGCTCCGAAAGATCAAGGAGCCAGCGTGCTGGTGGAGCCCCTCTCACTGAGGCTGTCGCAATGATGCCACAGAACTCAGGTTTTTCACATCGAGGAGTTTTGCCAGCCGCTACCCGGGAGGGTGGGCCGAACGTTCATAGTACTGGAGGTTCTGGAAATCGGGTGTTCAATCAAATGAATGTAAACCACGAACAACGTGTGATTATTGATCAGCAGCACTATGTCCAGAACAACAAGGTACTCATTCAGACTCATGACCCAGCATATACGGAGATGCTTGAGCAGACAGCCGAAGCGCGTCATCGCATGGCAATAGCCGAAGCGGAAGCTCAGGCCAATCACCGTCACGAAGTTTTGACTGGAAGTCTGAAGGAAGCACTGCAAATGCGTGAAGCCCAAGAGATCAATCAGGCAAGGATGTTTCTGCGGGAGAATGAGGAGAACATTAAAAGTGAGGCCGTTCAGCATGTCCGTGCCCATGAGGCTCAGTGTACAGAAAAGGTTCAGGCGTACCAGAGAATCTTGGACGCTAACCTCCGTCAATCAATGGCCACTAAGGAGTGCGAGATTGAACGCCTCCGAAGTCAGGCCGCCGAAAAGGAGCGAGCTCAGGAAGAGCGCATCAAAAGGCTCGAAGAGCTTGTGATGCAGCAGAGTCTTCACAACCAAAAGCTCCAGAGTATGTTGGACTCTCAGCTGTCGCAACCACCTCCTGTCCAAGTTGTGGAAACCGCGACTTTGACTAGGACGGCGGAACCGTATGTCATTTCAGCCCCGATCCCGGCGTGTACAGTTGGCTCTCCGGCCACATCCGTGCATCCGTCCCTTGACCCTTTCAATGCCGAGACAGTGAACCCACCGTATACTGCTCCTCCGATGTTGGCTGGTCCGTATGCTGGCAATACCGACGGAGAAGTTGAGGAGATGGTCATAGGCCGAATCCCAGTAGGTGGTATCAACATCACATACTGTAAAAAGGCAGAGAAAGGTTCTACCCCAGGTCCATCAAACCCAGTTCCCACGAACAATGTCTCGGGAGATCATACCCCAATGTCTGGTCGTACTGTGCAGTATGGGGTTACTGGTCATAAACCTAACAAAGGTCCCAATGATGGCAATAATTCAGGGGGAAATGGAAATGGAGGACCCGGAGGGGGAGACGAGGGGGATGATGGGGACGATCATGATGGCTCGCCTGTCCCATCTCCATCGCCAATGCCCGAAGCCCGTAAGAAGAAGGATAAGAAGAAGGCGTCAGGCGGTGATGGAGGAGGGGGAGGTGATGACCCTGACAAAGATTCCGATGACAGTGATGAAAAGTTTGTTCGACGTATGAAGAAGTTTTTGGGGGGTGGTTTCAACCAAAGTGGGCAGGATGAAAAGCCCAAAGTCAAGGAAGCGGATACCATCAAGCTTCCAGCCATCCCAGGTCCGGAGACATACAGAAATTGGCGCATCAAAACCCGAGAGGCAATAGTCGCAGCATCAACCAACCCAGATTCAGCATTTGCATGGATTGGAGAGGTTTGGAAAGAAGGACAGACTATTGAAGCCCTCCGGAAGGTGGCGCCGTTTGCAACACTAGATGCCAAGCTCCTGTCAGCTCTAACCAACATCATTACGGGGGATTTTGCCCGAAAGGTTGACACCTTCAAGGAGACCGAAGCCAATGAGGGGAGAATCGTTAGGGGTCGCCAAGTTCTTTTCATGTTACATGACCATTTCAGTACAAACATGAAACATGGCTCAACCTACGCCCTTCAGGATCTGTTTAGTGTCCACCTAAAGGGAGAGAACCTCAAAACGTTCATTTCGAATTGGGACCAAGTGCTAGCAGGTATTGTGAAAGTTCCTGAGGAGTCAGTACTGGAAACACTGTTCTATAATCAGGTCAAGAACTGCAAGGCCATAGCCCATGATTTGAATGAGTACCATCGAGCAGACGAAGGCACAGAGAAGAGAAAGTATGACTTCCTTGTTTCCGCCGTGCGCAGGCACCTGGATCGTGAACGCCTGGAGACCAACCGAGAGAGGGTTGCTCGGAATCTCTCAGGTACTGCCAAACCTTCCGCACCCGCTGTCGAAGGAAAGGTAGGTTTCATCCCACGGGGTTACTGTGTTAAGTGGAACAAGGGAGGATGCACCAATGAAAATTGCACGTTCAAGCATGAAGTTCCATCCAAAAGAACTCCTTCCACCAAACCCAAAAGGGATTCAAGTCGTGGACGATCACCGTCAAGAACCCAATCACCCAAAGGTAAGGGGAAAAAGAAAGAATGCATTTTCTGGAAAAGGGGACGTTGTGAGCGGGGTGACAAGTGCAATTTTTCGCACAATGGCCCTGCCGGGAAACCTAGACAGGCTACTCCCGCTAGATCCAATTCAAGTGGGAAGAAAGGGGGTAAGAAAACATCTAGGAGTCCAGGC